ATACTACGCGAAATATAGTGAAAAATCGTGTTTTCTGAACTTTCAGGTTAGGATTTCTCGATAACCCAGGGTGATGGAGCAATTCTGAGGTCAGATTCGGTTTCAGCGCACCAAAAACATTTGGGAATGTACTATACTGTCTGGTTTCTGGGTTTTTCCATTTTTGAAATTTTGTTGGCCTGTGTTATTATTCACTTTGGTTTACTAAAAAATATTGACTAGAAGAAAGTTATTTGAAAAAAAGTTTTTGGGTGTAAACTTTGAGGGTGGATTTCACTCCTTAAATAAGTTCTTCCGCCGATAAAAAAATACCAATCTCTTGATTTTTTAATGTATTGCAACATATACAGGAATTGTCAAAATCGGTGAGTTCGGGTTGGGGTACCTTCCTTGTTAGTCTTGAAATTTATGGGTACTTAAATGGTTGTTATCTTGAGGTTTAATTATGCTTTCATTATTTTACGTTTCTTGAGTCTAGTGTACGTTATTGATTTCAAGAGAAGTTTGTTGATAAGCTTATTTGAATGGTTTTGTAGTCTTCTATTGTATTTTATGCGAAATTTTTAGTTTCTTCTTTTATTGATGCAATCTGTAAATTATTTCGGTTAACTCGTTGCAATCCACGGCACGTGTACTATGTTACGTAAGACTTTCAATTGAAATCTTTCTAGGATTTCAAAATTCGAATTCTAAGCGGCTTTCCAAAGTTGAATGCTATAGGTTAAAACTGCTTTTTGTACAGCTTTGTAAAATAGATGTTTATTTTAGATTGTTAGCTCCAATTTTCTTCCAACAAGCCAGTAAATTTTCTTTTATTTCAGTCCCAGCTCTTTTCGTTTTGTAAATTATGTTTTTTCGATGTCAATCTTCTATCCATGTATATTTAATATGATTTTTTTGTTGAATGTATTGTTCAGTTTAATAGGCAGACAGGTATCTTTAATGAGGATTTATGTGATCTGAATTTATTTACTTTTGTTTATTATTATTCTTCATGAGTTTAGCCTATTTTGGAAATGGTTATGTACGTAATTTTGTAGTGTTTCTGATGCTATTATTACTTCTTGATGTTAATATTGCTGTATTGTCTGCGTATGTTGCTGTCAAAATATTTAGAGACTCTGGTAGGTCTGGCGTGTATAACAGGTACAGTGTTGGGCCTACAAAACTACTCTGCGATACTCCTGCTTTTATTACTTGGCGTTTTTAAATGTTTTATTGACTTTAATTGAAAAATTCTATCGTATAGTGTGACGGAGCCCTGGCTGGAATGGCCTACCCTGTCTGGCTTGCTCTCTCTCGCTCTCTCTCTCTCTCGCAGCTCGCTCCATCGCTGTTGCCCTGGCGAGCGTGCTGCAAATCAAGAACCGATACCGATGCTGGCACCGTTTTATTTCAGGGCCGATACTTGTGCCGGGCCTTGGGAGCTAATTTGGTGCGAGAGCATCTGCGGCAAAAAGAGGAGAGAGAGATTGATGCGTCGCGCGTAGCTAGTAAGCAAGCGAGATCTTGAGGAAAAAAGATCGATTGTGACGGCCGAGAGTGCGCGCGCTATAAATCCCAAATTGTATAGCAGAGAGACAAAGAAGCGATACGACACCGAGCAGATTGCGGCCAGGAGCGGATTTCCAGCGACTCCCAAGGCATTGAGAACTTCATCAAAGCCTGCCGTCAACCTGCCTGCAGTACCAGCAGTACATTTCTGCCAGCAGTCTTCGTCAGGTTAGGTTATCTCTCTCTCTTTCTACTATTTCTATTCGCGAGTGCGCAATGCGTCGGCGAGGTGCTCGCGACCATCCGCGAGCACAGCGAAAAAAGGCGAGAACGGCGAGTCCCCTTTCTTTGAGTTCCTCTCAATTTATTGTACCGTGCCCCCGTGTGTTTGTTCGCACGAGTGAAAGCACGCTGCCGCAGAGGGTGACGCGTAAATCCGCGTCGCCTCTCTTTAATATTGTAACTAATTCTCGCAATTTTAATCTTCTATCACTCAATACCATATCGTGGATTTTGTTGACCATTTCGGACGTACTCACTTCTACGGGGCGTTCTGAACGAGGTTCATCTTTTGTTGTTGTACGGCCGCGTTTAAATTCATTTACCCAGTTATAAACAGTCTTAAACACAGGGGCAGACTAGCCATGAACGGCGTTCAACTCAACTGTAATTTCTTTTAGTGTAAGGCCTTTGAAATGAAAATGTTTTATCATCGCTCGAAACCCTGTTTTTTTCCATTTTTCAAATAAACCAATATCTTTTTGTTCAACCAACACTCACAAAAAAACGACTTAATGAATTGAGCTAAAAATTGTACGATATCTAGTTAGTAGTATTGCCTGCCAAAATCATCATAATTTAAGCGTGACGAGCGTCATCTCTTGAATTTTGTTAAGACTTATTGACCCCCGCTCGTACTTCATTTTCACTTTTATTTTTATTTTTAATATGTTATTATTATTTAAATTACGATTTTATCATTATTTTCTTTTCGTAATCAATTTTACTTATAATTTTTTTTGTTAGTAGTTTTAATGATTTCTCTGTTCCACTGTTCTTGTCAGTGCTCAACCTCTTGGTACATCTCATTTTCCATCATTTAACTCACTAAGTCATGCTTCATAGCCAGTTCTCTTGCCAGTATATTCATGTGTGGTATGTCAACAATTATTAAGAGGGCCGTGTTTAACACTATGCTGTAGGTGTACGTGGTCCTTAGTACTATTATACTAATTGTTTTATGGTATCTAGAAATAGGTTGTGTATGTGTGTACCTGTTGAGCAAGTATATTTTTCAACAGTATTAGTATTTAATAATAGAAGTATTCTTGTAGTTTTATGGAGAATCCGGAGTATTCGAATGGACGTGGGTCAATGTCATTGCTAATTGGGGGTTAGAATTTGTAAGTGTTATTTTATCTGCTCTCTCTTTCTTATTTTTGCGTTATCTTTTATAATTACATTGAAGATTTTGAGGGGAAAAAATTTTATAATATGTCCTACTTCTCTTGCAATTGTTGCAATGTATCCTGGTGTCTTCGTAATGTTGTATGCAAATTCATCTGGGGAAACGGAATTTTGAAATGTTGTCCTTTTAATTTCGCATTTAGATTGTTATTAGATATACATGTAGATTATTAAGAAGATTCTCCAGTAAAATGAAAATCAAGAAATCGTCTTGAAATTAAAATGTATTGTAGGGAAAATATATACAAATGTTTGAGCGAAATCCCGGTAAGGCTGTCCAGCCATTTGTTGAAGAAATTAATATTACAAAAGTGGCTTTTATACACGGCGTCTTATGAAAACGTGTCCGAGTAGACGAATATTACTCTGAATTATGAAATGTAGAACCAAGATTTTTGTATAAATGGACATATTTTAGATTAATTATAATTCGAAGATTCATAATCTGTTTCGAAAATAGCAGATGTCCACACAATCTAAAGAGATAATAGACAACAAAGCAAGAAAAATCACTCGTTTTTCCTATCGAAATTGTAGACATCTTGAACTTGGCAACGTCACATGGGCAAGCCAATGACGTCCGGCGCGCGAAATCTTTGAAAAGTATAGCGAACAGAGCATTAGCAATATATGATTATTGCATTAAAAAATGATTTAAAAAATTATTAATTTATAATTATTAATGCTGATAATTGCTTAAATAATACAAAATATATTTGACATTGATAGTTACATGAAAATATTAAGGGTTATAACGGGGTTAATACCGTTTATTTATTTTAATGCGCGCGATCGTATCGAAGAGCGCGCGTGATTACCTACACGTTCAAACACGAAAACCGGAGAGCAGGAGGAAACAGATGTCAGTCAACCAACTATCTACTAATGCGAAATAAATACGTCGGAAATATCGTTAGTATCACAAGCGAGAACTTTTATTGCCTCTTAATATTACACTTCATTCGGCCCGCATGTTGACATGCCGCGCGCACGACAACAACATGCAGTGTCGGATCGCTCGCCGCTCATAGTTCGCTGAGTTATTACATGCAGGCTTTTTGTCGAGTATGAGAGATTAGTTATAGACAATTCTATCGCGATCGTGAAATTAAGCTGGCCAGCTTACCTTATTAACTCTCGCACGGGTAACAAAACAAATGAGATGAAGGAGGCTCGTACAGCACGCACTAGTCTTTCGGCAAAATGTTTATGTGCGGGCGATGGTACGTCTCGTTCACGGTTTCGCCCTCGATGCCGAAACTCTCCACTCACTCACACTTGCACGTACTCTGCTGGACGTAAGACTATCTCACAACTTCTCTCTCTCGTCTCTGCCTTCAGAAAACTCCGGAAAACGTCAAAGGTATTTTTGCTATCTGACTCTGCGATCGGATTCTAATCCTCGACTGGTTCGTTTTCGTACGCGCACGTTCCGTTACGTCTCATGCCGAATTCCTCTATACATTTCGCCCCAATCGGCAGGTGCTGCCCTCGCCGGCAGCCGCATGGTTGGGCTGTTAGCGCTAATACGATGTTTACCGTCACAGGGTTTAAAAATAAAACTGTGAGAGTGAATATATTTCAACAATCAATAATTTTAATTGATAGTTTATATAAATAAGACATGATAAATATCACAAAAATAAAATATGTCGTATAAAATCAAACACGTACATATAAATAATATAATTTTGGAACGAAGCTTAAAGCTTTGATTATACATTCTATAGTTTTTTTATGATTAGTGTCTCGAGGTCTTTTCCCAATCTTTTCACTCAATAACATTCTAACTCCGTCAGAACCGTCGTTTTTAAAGACATCACATAATAAATGTTTATCAATCCCAGTCTTCGCAATTTTCGTAATCGTATTTTGAGATATTGAAACTTCGAAACAAGAAAATGATAATTTTTGTAAATTTACTTAGTTCTGTATGGCTTTTGATTGTAAAATAGATGAAACAGTCCTTGTATTCTCTCGAATTTTATCACGATCAATTCCAATCACATTAAGCAATTTTGGTAACACTTGCATGTCAACTAACGCATTATGAGCTCTTGAAAATACTGAGCACCTAAGAAGTCCATGGTATGTGTACCCTGACTAAACTTTTTTTTCTCTTCCTGGCGATCCGGCACAATTTTTTTGGTAATTAATAATGAATCTGCAAAACCTTTAACAGCGATCTTGAATTCATCCAACATACTTATTTGTTTAAGGTGGTGTAATAAAACGTTGGCATCAAACCTATAGTAACAAATGTACAATAATATTAGATAGAATCGTAATTTTATCCTTTTATTCTCTTTGTTATTGCATAACTTACCGGAAATAATTATGTACTAGAAGAATAATAGTAGTGCCTTGTTCTTGAAGAAATTTCAAGAAATTATTTAACGCCGCTTTTATAGACACAGTATTGACCTTCCGGCCATTCGAAAAGATCTCTCCATTTACTAATGCGATCCCTGTAATTTCTGAAACTTTTGACGGGATACCTCTTGATGGCATTATGTATTCACAGAATGATCTCTCGCCAACTATGGCAGCAATCTAAAATCGTGAAATATTATTATAAGAACATTTTTTTGCGAGCAAAAATTCTTATATTACTTGGGTTATTTCAAGATTACTACAACCAGTAGTTTTCAAGTCAAAAATAATTGGCACCGCATCAGTATAATTTTCATTTTCTGAAATTGTGACACCTGAAAATGTATTTCATTTTGTTGTCAAGTTGTCATTACACCCTACCCATACAACAATAATTATCACATAACCTTGTCTATGTCAAAATCATCGGTCCTCACAGACCACCATACGCCATACGATGCATTAAATGCACGGACTGCATACATCATGTTGTTCTACACTATCCCAACCTAGAGTTACCTATAGACTCAATTCCTAAAACACCCGGCATTAACAGCTTTTTACCTTTCCGAACAAAAAACATCCGCTCTTTAAAACAATTTCATGAACACTACTCTAACTGCTTACAAATAGCCATGAAATATATAGCAGAGATAAGAGATATCCTTGAGAAACACACTGACCAAAACACACCTACACAAACACATTACACCGTTAGTAATCATCGCGACATCCAAGATAAAAATACAATGCTCAGCGAACTACTCAAACCCAGTACCACTTACCCTTCCGACTCGTCCCCACGAGTAGCACCGCTCCTGCTCCGTAGAAACTATAACACCTCCCCAACCACACTAATAAACATCTTTGACCAAATAGACAATTGGGAATGGATGAAGCTTTTTAACAAAATCGCTGTCAACGCTAGACAGAAATTAAAAAAAAAAAAACAACTCTTCCAGCTAACACCAGCAAAATTCCCCTACCCAGAGTACTTTTCATCAGTCTGCTAACTACCGTTATATGCCAAAATCAGACAACTACAAAGCAATATGATAGTCAGCCTGGAATCGCTTTTGAAAAAGGACCTACCATACGATTCATTCAAGAAAAATGGAATATTATCACCGCTCTCGACATCAACTTAGTGCTTAACTCTCATTACAATTTCACCCAAACACTGGAAAAAATATCTGCAGCTTGCAACACAATCGAGATAAACGATTTCATCAAAAATTCTATATACACAGCCTACGAAGAAACAAAAAAACTCCAACACATCAACGAAGCAGTCAGCACCTCTCTCAACGCGTACGCTTTTGACACACCCAACGGGGGGCGGGATGCCCTAGCATCGCTGGACAGCCTCTTACTCGAACATGCCAATAAGGCCCTTGAAGATGTCTTGTATATGCGCGAGAGTAATTTGACCGAACAAATGGGCGAGTATGACTTATCTTATATTACCGAAAATAATTTACAATCAGAGACAAATCTTTGCTTTTTAGAAAATCTCGCGCAGATTTCATTACTAGCGCAATGAGCCCAGTATATAATTCTACACACATTAGCCTTATTTTAGCCGAAATTAACAACATTTTACATAAGTTTACTTACATATCAACTGAAGTACGTCAACTCCTGCAAAACAAACAATTTTCTTTCAATCCGCAATTTTTGCTTAACGCGATAAAAACTATCAAGGCAATTACTAGTTCAAAGTTGCCAGTACATATGTCAAAAATCAATATCATAACACTACAACAAATCGCAGAAGTTAACGTAGTCTACTTTCGTAAGAACTTCATTGTCGAAGTAGTTTTTCCCCTTGTCGCAAGCAGCAATACACAGAGTTTTAAATTATATTCGCTGCCAGTATTTCAATATCCTAACAAAACTAACCAAATCGCTAAGTTCATTAGACCACAAAGTGATTACCTGACTGTGATAGAGGGAGAAGCTACCCATACCTTTGTAAGCAAGAATTTAATTGATAACGAGTGTAAACGTATTTTTTCCTTCTATCTGTGCCCGCGCCCGACTATACGCAAGCCAAACAATAATTCCTGCGAGTTTAATCTGTTAACATCACCCGAAGAATCAAATCTTGTATTTTGCCAACTTGAAAATAGCTCCGAAACTGACTATTATCTTATACCGACGTTACAAAATAATTTTTTGCTATACTCAGTGACTCTCAATACATCCTTTGATATTAATTGTAACGGCGTAGTACAACCCTTTCCTTTGAATGGTACCGGATTAATACAGATTCCCCAGCCGTGTGAACTTAGAACAAGCCACCATATTTATTTAGGGGCTAAGAAAAAACTAAAGGCGGAAAATTTTGTAATTCCAAAAATCTCTTTAATAACTACAGACTACTATAATGAAAAGCCCAAACACAAATAATAATCAGAACAGTTACGAGCACATGGATCGAGCGAAATTATTGCACGTATATTTAACTTTAGGTGTAACCATTGTAATCGTTGTCGTATCCGCAATCGCAGTAAGTTGCATACTCTGCGCATATAGAGTGTGCAGTAACAAAGACCGCGGGTTCGATAATATACCAATGCAAGAACTTAATCCACCCTTAACTCCTCAAAAAAGAATGATCTGCAAATCTGCACAGACATTACTTGACGGAAAATATTTTAGGCTACCAATCAACTACGACACTCCTCACTTCCCACCCGTGGCCGTGCAAGTGGTCCCACTCCAAAAATCCGAAGCGACAGACACTCCTCCAACTCTTCCCGCTCTCTAAAATAAAAAAGGTATAAAAACGCTAACATACCCCCCTGTCATATCAGACACTCCATAAAATCAGCACGATGAAACGCACGGCAACTACCACACTCGGCCCGCCATGCAAGAAGGCTAATCGATCCTGGACGACGGAACAAATATGCAACAGTCGGACGTCGGCAGCAACAATGGAACGACTATTTGCAAGATGGGAGAACCGGAAGGCCCAGACGAGCATGCAACATCCCGAACTGCCGCTATTAGATGACGATGGAGGCTGGAACTACCACGAGCTGACGCAGTATATTTTCCAGGAGGCTCATCACGGACACCTGCACTTAAGATTCCTCTTCGAGGAAACCTATGGAGGAGAGGGATTCGGACGAGCCACTTTCAATCCATGTCGTGTGTGCGTCAAGACACCGCACATTGGCAGGGATGCTTCTTCTGCCGAGCACGCGTAGCAGTCGCTTCAAAGGATCAACAACTAGCCATGGAGGCCGAATGTGTCCACCCGGAGCATTTTATGCTCAGTAATGCTTCCTGTGCCAGATATATTGGCAAGGAGTTTTTATGTAGGTTCCAGAGGTGCTTGCAGGTTCATCGTTTGGAGTTGCTGTAATCCTATCCCCAGTTCTTCCTATTCTTATAATAATTGAATAATAATAAATAATAATAATAATTACAAAAACAAAAAAACAACACAAAAAAAAAATAATATATATATATATGTAAAATATATATAACACAAAAAAATCTTGACAAATATGTAGAATGATAAGACACAAAAAAGAAGACAAAAAAGTTTACTCATACCAAATAGTTGCAGTAGCGTTCGGAGAACGCTAGTCCCTTGCTCTATCAGCAAAGGACTCCGAGGGGTGGGCATGTCACGTCGATACGAAAGAATAAGTATGTGACGAATTATGAGTTATGGTAACAAACCGGGTATCGGTAATTTAATTTTCTACTGTACCAACCCTCCCGGGAAGATTTGTAAATCTATCTAGCGGGATAGATTAGTCTAAGCACGTCTCCATAATATTTCCGCGAATATTACTCATCGCATATTGAATTGGCGAAAACACAGGAAGGGGCATATCAGCCTACGGTATAAAAAGGCTGGATTGGAATTCGCACAACACAGTACGCAGTACACAGTCGACAATTCAGCAGTTTGATAGTTTCGCAAAGTTATTTTTTAAGTCTAACTATCCGGCTACTTAGAACCGGGATTATACTCTGTTAAGTATTATAATTGTCTTTAAACAATAAACCTTAAATCAAGCGCAAACACCTGAGACTGTTCGTAAAAAACCTCTTCTGAAATCTAATCCTCATAAGGTAAGAAACTATGTTATCTACTTAAAACACCCTACGTATAATAAAGGCACTATCCCTTTAACCAACCTCTGCTTAACTCCTGACTAAGATCCAACCTTTGCCAACGCGACAATATTTGAATATATTATTACGTCTGGCTGTAACATCTCCTCGCCTAGACATAACAATATATTATTATTATTCACTAATTGAACAGCCAAGTCGGGCTCCATTGCTTTTGAGCTGCCGTCAAAATTTTTTCGACAGTTGTGGTCTTCTTTCTTGTGACCAAGAGAACATTTGATGCATTTTTTACTCCGACTTCCAAAACTCAAGATTTTTCCTGTTTCCTTGCCAATTAACGACGATTGACCTGTTGAACAGTTCAACCACATAAGTGTTTGTCTTTCCAAATAAAAAAATTAAATAGATTATTATAATTGTTAAAGTTACTGTATTTTTGTTAATGTGTAAATAGTTGAACGAAAAAAAATTATTGAAACTTTTTTTATCAAGAATACGATTAGTTTTTCAAAAAAAATTTCCAGCGATTTAACCCATTAACGTCCAAAATGTCAAAATTTCTTGCACGTTTTCAAAGTGATTTTTTCCTATGTAATTGGCGTTGAAAAAATTCTTGAACCACATATTCTGATGTAAAATTGCATGCTCTTTCAGAATCCGTTGCCAAAATCATGATAAAACTCACAGGAAAAGAGATATGCTCGATTGAAACATAAAAAACACCTAAATTTTCGAAAAAAAAAATTTTTAGGATTTTTTTTCGAAGTGTTACGGTGAAGATATCACCTTGCGACCGTGATCAAAGGTGATCATGGGATTTGAAGTTTAACAGGGAATTTTTTTGTTTACCTTGAACCATCGCTTCTTTACAAAATGGCGGAAAAAACGAATTTTTTTTTTTTCAATCTTCATCAACTTTTTTCTCAAAATCTATGGTCTTTAGAAAAAAATTCATAAAAACAAAAATGCCTTAGAATCGCTCGAGGAACATTCTCAAATTTTTTCAGAATTTTTTGAGACAATTTTTGATTTTCCGGGAAACTTGGGAAATGGAATTTTCAAAAATGTCTCCAAAAATTCTGAAAAAATTTTAGGATGTTTCTCGAGTGATTCTAAGACATTTCTGTTCTTATGAATTTTTTTCTAAAGTCCATAGATTTCGAGAAAAAAATTGATAAAATGAACATAGCGGCCGAAACGAATTTTTATTTTTTCAACTTTATCAATTTTTTTCTCGAAATCTATGGACTTTAGAAAAAAATTCATAAGAACAGAAATGTCTTAGAATCACTCGAGAAACATTCTAAAATTTTTTCAGAATTTTTGGAGACATTTTTGAAAATTCCATTTCCCAAGTTTCCCGGAAAATCAAAAATTGTCTCAAAAAATTCTGAAAAAATTTGAGAATGTTTTTATGAATTTTTTTCTAAAGACCATAGATTTTGAGAAAAAAGTTGATGAAGATTGAAAAAAAAAAAATTCGTTTTTTCCGCCATTTTGTAAAGAAGCGATGGTTCAAGGTAAACAAAAAAATTCCCTGTTAAACTTCAAATCCCATGATCACCTTTGATCACGGTCGCAAGGTGATATCTTCAACGTAACACTTCGAAAAAAAAATCCTAAAAATTTTTTTTTTCGAAAATTTAGGTGTTTTTTATGTTTCAATCGAGCATATCTCTTTTCCTGTGAGTTTTATCATGATTCTGGCAACGGATTCTGAAAAAGCATGCAATTTTACATCAGAATATGTGGTTCAAGAATTTTTTCAACGCCAATTACATAGGAAAAAATCACTTTGAAAACGTGCAAGAAATTTTGACATTTTGGGCGTTAATGGGTTAAAAAAAAAATGTAGCACTTGTTGTAAAGCATAATATTCAAATAATTTTAAAGTATTCTATACAATGGTGTACGTCAAAATTAAAATTCAAACTTTTAACCAGAAATGCTGTTATAAGAATGCCCGGCTCCTCTTTTTTGCCAACCAGTATCTATTGAAGTACTAAGTTCTTTGATAGTTTTATTTTCAAAAACATTTGTATCGCAAGACATTTGTTTATTCATATCCATTTGTATATTTTCTTCTCCACCTCTGAAACACGCAACAAGGAAAGATAACATCCATACATGACTCATACGATCATTTATCAATTATATTTCATGTATTCTTGTTTTCCAACTGATGGCAATAATATCCAACTAAAATCACTGCTCTACCGTATAATTCATAAAACAATTATAAAGAAAATTTTAATTTCATAATTAGCTCCCAATTTTCCAATGCAACATTAATTAAAACTAAAAAAAATGATTAAAATAACCTAACTTTTATATGCAGCTCACAGCTTTCCAAAATAAAAAATATCACAATGATATTTCACAATTGTATTCTTTTTTTTGACATATTCCGGAAAATCTTTATTCGTGTTTGATCTTTTAAAACTGTTACAAAATATAGATAACTATTTTTAAAAAATTATTCATGCGTTTGTCGAATAATAATTATGTGATGTAATGCAATTCAAAAAAGTATTCTACGTATATGTGATGTGATAAAATAAAAAAAAAAGGACTTTATGACTATGATTAAACAAATCTTTCACATAATCAAATACTGAAAATAATGACGACTCGTTCAATAAAAATATCTTACGACTTGTCATTCTGATGGAGCTGTACAGTTAATTCTATTTCTTCCTTTACCGCGACCTCACAGCTATCTCATGCAAGCTCCTCTATTTTATTACCCACAGTTCTTTCATGTTTCTTTAGCGTACTTTGAGATATAGTACGAATGTTGAGCTCTGACAATATCGTATTAATTTGCGTTTCGTCAGCTCCAGCATCAAGCATACCTATAACGGAAATTATAAAATTATCTTGAGCACTAACAGTAAATTTGTTCATATCATATCAAAAATTTTAATGAATTATCGATGGCAAATTTCAAGTTTACGGCATACTCTGTTTGCACCTTTGTATTAGTAGATACAATAAAAAATGCCAAATATTCAAGGCACTGCACTTTCAACATACTGGCAAGTCCATATCGTTTTTCGCTAATTAAGTTTCTCAATAACAGTGGCTTATTGCATTTTGTGCACCATAGTTCACGTGCTAAAGTATTTATTTCTACGATTCTACGATCATCACATGGAATTTTGAACTTACCACACTGTAAGATTAAATTTTTATTATTAAATAAGTACTGTACTCTACGTCGATATTGATTTTGTTTACATTTTCAAGATAAAATGGCAGGTATGACTTATTTTATTAGTAGATGTCTTTTTTTCACAATTTATCTTTTTTAGATTCAAGTGAACTTTTTCTCTGTGTAATTGCACTTTTCTTTTAACAAATTGACCATTTTTTGCTCGCCCACGATCCATTTTTAACAGTAAAATTAATAAGAACAGTCAAGTAACATCCTGATATTAGAAGGGTTATGTTGACTTTCTGATTCTTGCGAGCGCCTCGATAAAATCAGGGCCGTGCGATACTTTTTCTGTCGTAAGCACCGAGTGCGACGTTGCCAGATTCAAAATGTTTGAAATTTCAACAATTTTTTCAAAGTCGCTAAACGTATTGAGATCATTCTCACATCCAATATTAATGCACTAACATAAATAAGATAGTTTTCGAACATACAATCTGCTAGAATTTGATTAATTTAATGGTATTTGGTTAGCCCCACGCGGGCCACCCTTGTGATACGGCCCGTCACTGGAGAACCTCCTTAAGTTGTCTCCTGAAATATTTTCGTACATATACGAATTTCAAATTGACATATGTAAACAGGTCTAAGTTCACGCTGTCTCGGTTACTAACCATGTCATTTTCGAATTTATAGGTATTTAAATAATTGTCTTATTCGACAATAAATAGTTTTAGCTATTTCATTTTTATCAATTCTCTGTTACACCATACTATTTTATGTTCAGCTGTTAAGGCGAATGTTATTGCGCTAGAACTTAACATGTAAACTATTTCGTGATTCCAGTTCCGTGTGTGAGTTGGAATCGTTTGTGATTTAATTTGTAGATGTACTCGTATTCTTGTAATATGTCGGGTAATATTGAAGTTTATTAATTATATTATTATTGATTTCAAATGTCATTTTTTCTTCTGATAACCAACTTCTAATAACTAATGGCGAGAATAAAAAATAAGTGCTTTTCTGATCATCGTACATATTTATACAAAAAATAAAATTTCTGTTATACAATTTAAAATATAAATTATAAATAAATATTATATATATAATCGATAATTATTTTATAAATCATAGATAGCATCAGTTCCATATAATTTCCATATAATAACTGGACCCAACTTAAGCGGAAAAACTACTTATTTGAAGCAGATAATTTTAATACACATACTTGCACAGGTAATTGAAATTTTCATTCTAATATCATTTTTTGAATTTATCGTCAAAATAATGAATAATTTTTATAATTATTATTTACGACACTGCAATTTCGAATGAATAATAGGAAATTCAAAATAGATAAATATTTTCATCTAAAAAGATCAAAAGATCTGCAAAAATTATTATCAGGAATAAATTTTCGACTGGCAGAAGAAAAAAAAGATAGCAAGTCTGAACAAGTTTATCTGACGCTCGCCTTGCTCTTTTCCGCTCTTTCCCCGGTGCAACCTAAATTTACGAATGGTGGTGCTTATGAGTTTACGTGGTAACTAGCCGATTGATTTTGCGTTCATACAGAGCTAGACGCCCAGCGTTATTAATAATATCATCGTTCCATTCATAAGTCACTAGCCTTTACGTGACAACTGCTGTTCAACTTTTGTCCATCTGCTAGGCCGTTGCGTAATTTGTAATCTGCAACAACAATATCAAGCACCAAGTACGCAAAAATTATTAGATTCGTCAGTATCTCTTTTTGTTTTACGTATATTGAACAATTTTTTTTTTTTTTTTTATTTCCAAAGTAAATTTACAATCTGTCCATAAACAATAAGTAAATGGTATTATTAAATCTACAACAATTACAATTTTACTTGCATGATTACATAAGGGTACTTCTCCAGTGATCAGTACCAGTACATTAATACATTCATATATTAATTAAAACAAACTAACCCTATTTTTGTGTAAATGGTGTTTTATATTTTTTGAACCTTGAAGTTGTTGGTGTTGAGACGATTAGTTCCTTGGCTAGTTGATTTGGATGCTCTGCAATCCGGGTGGTATATCTGCTGGAGGCTGCTTCTATTTCTTCTTTTACTGTCATTATGTTGATATCTTTTCGTATATATTCATTTGTTATAAACCATGGTGCGTTTATGATATTTCTTAATGTTTTGTTCTGGAATCTTTCGATGATATTAATGTTGGATTTTGTGGCTGTACCCCAGAGTTGTATGCCATATATCCAAACTTATGGTTTATGGATTTGTAAATCAGTAATTTGTTTTTAATTGAAAGCTTAGAATACCTCCCTAGTAGCCAATAATATTTTCTTGTCTGTAGATTTAGTTGTTTCCGATTTGTCCAGATATGATCTCTCCACGTTAGTCGTCGATCCAGGTGCATTCCGAGATATTTTGCTTTGTCTCCTTGTGGAATTGTTTTATTATCTATGTTTACCGGTGGGCATGAGCTTCTTTTTTTGGTATAAGTAACTTGTATTGATTTCGATTCGTTGATCATTATCCTCCATTTATTAAACCAGTTAAGTGCTGTATCCAGGTATTGCTGCATAATACGAGTAGCTGTAGTTTCATTGGCATGTGATATTAAGATTGCTGTATCATCGGCATACGTGGCGATGTTGACATTTTCCATTTTAGGGAGATCATGGGTGTACATTAAATACAATATAGGGCCAAGAACGCTTCCTTGCGGGACGCCGGCTTTTATTGTGCGTAGATCTGATGTTTCATTATTTATTCTTACTTTGAACGTTCTGGAGTTTAAGTAAGATTCTAGTAACAAGTAGAGTTGTTCTGGTAAAATTTTATTAAGTTTGTATAAAAGTCCTTGGTGCCAGACTTTGTCAAAATCTTGGACTACATCAAGAAATATAGCATTATAGTATTCGTTTTTTTCGAAGGTGTTTCTTATTATAGTGGTTACTCTATTTATTTGTTCTATTGTGGCATGATTATTACGGAAACCGAATTGGTGGTCAGGTATTATTTTTTGATCTAATAATATTTAATTTAACCTTTTAGCTATTATTTTTTCGCAGATTTTAGAAAGTATAGGCATCAGACTAATTGGCCTGTAAGATGTAACATTTTGCAGCGGTTTTCCCGGTTTTGGTATGAGTATTATTGTTGCTGTTTTCCAAATCGTAGGAAAATAGTTTAAACGAAATATTGAGTTTAACACGATAGTTATGTATCTTATTGCTTTGGTAGGAAGTTCTTTCAGTAGTTTTGCATTAATATTATCATGTCCAGAGCTTTTCTTGTTTTTTAACTGATGAATTATATGACTTATTTCTTTTGCTTTTATATTGTTAAACGTATGGTGATTATTATTATTTTTTTACATGCTAATTAGTAAATTTAGTTCTTCCTCTTTCGTTATTTTACGTTGAGGTGGGCTGAATACATATTGTAAATGTGTGGCGAAAGTATTAGCTTTATCGATATTTGTTTTTGCCCACGTCTTATCGTTTTTTAAGATGGGAGGTAAAAATTTTTACGGTTGATTATTTTTTTGGTTGCTTTCCAAAGTGAGTAGTCAGATGCCTCCGTTGCAGTTAGGTTCATTAAATAGTTATTTATATTTTAATTTTTTTCATCGTAAAGTATTTTTTTAAGTTCTTTAATTGATCTGTTGTATTTTGTTTTGTCAGTTTTTAGTCTAGTCTGCTGCCATATTTTTCTTAGCATTCATTTTTCTTTAATTTTGTCGGTAACTATTTTAGAGTTTGTTGTAATTGTTTTTTTATTTATCGAAAATTCCGGAGTTGCAAATTTAACGGCATTATAAATATTGTTATTAAGGTTTTTAATTGCTATATGTATCAATATCTTGTTTTGTTTTTAATGGTATACTATACAAGAAAGTTTTTCATTTTAGGGGGTATCCTCGTGTAAATGGCAAAAAAAGAATGCGATTTTTAGGATTTTTTTTTTAAAACACTATACAATATTTTCATTTGAAATTCGAACAGGTCCTCAACGTTTATTTCAGCATACAAAAAAAAATTTTCTTTTTCAATTATTACAAATAGTTGAAGCTTAATATATTATTGAAGGAACACACAATTTTTTTTTTTCGTTTTGTGCCACGTTTAATGATCGCTGTATCAATCTGAAACATACCAAAAACATTTTTTTGTTATTATAGTACGAAAAACTCGTCGATAAACTATATTTACGATTATAAAAAAATTTACTAAAAAAATGGCTGACTTTTAAACAAATTAAGAAAAAATTTTTTTTATTTTTATTGCAAAAAAAATGGTTAAATAATAATTTTTTTCAAAATCCTTTTAGTTTGTCGACTAGATAATTAAATTACCTTTAAAATGGTATTTTTTTTTTCGATACGTTAAAAATTCGCGGAGTAATCGTCGGCAGAAACTCGAAAAATCATTTTTCGAGGAAACTCGAGAAAACGCGTTTGCAATAAATCAAAATTTCTTTTTTCGTATTTTCACTTTCAAAAGCATTTTTTGAATTTACCTGCAATGCCTGGTCCATAGAGCAAATCTTCTGACTTTTCTAAGTGCACATTTTCCGCTGCATTTTTCATTTTCTTCAATAATCGAGCTTCTTTTGAGCAACTCTCACTTCGAGCATCTTGCCGCTTGACTCGCTCTTGGTCCACTGTTTTCGCATAACTGGCTGTAACATTACCGACTTGCAAATCTAATATCCTCATCATCTTCAAAATGCCTTTGAATCCATCATTTAAAACTACAGCAGCAATATAAACAGCAATTTCAACAGTTTTAGGGCCAGAATGTAAATGTTTTGGAGCTAGACGCCACACGAGCGCGTTGAAACTTTCGTTGGCGTTTTGAGTGTAACCGCCTAAGCACCTTTTCAATAAATCTTCTTTCGAAAGATCTTTACCTTATAACTAGAATCAATATAATCGTTGCTCAGTTCAGAAGAGCATTCAAATCGTACGTCCGAACTGCTCGTGCGCTACGAGTGATTCATACTGAACAATCATTTCGTTTTCGTTCGGGATGAACGGTTCGACTCTCCCTTGTCTGAGTATTTTTGCTTATGTACGCTCGCTATTTGAATTCGGATGTGATGTTAAATATCACCAAAACGTGGACTAAAGAATATTACAAGTATTTAACAAGAAAACAAATATATTCTACAACAAAAAAAAAAATGATCGGCCCACCTTGGAGGCCAAATTATAAAATGAGCTTCTCAGTTGGAACCGCAATGATCCCTTTAAATATAAAGAAAAGCCAGCTATCACTTGGTTCAAGTGTATTGTTTGATCCTAGAGAGTATATATTCGACTAGTTGTGAGTTGAACAGGCTATTTGCAGGCTCGATTGTTATTGCAGCAATATCATTAACAAAAGTATAACTCTCAAATTCGTAAAGAGCGTCACAAGACTTAGCTTTACTAAAAGCGCGTACATAGTAAATTTACTAGTAAATGAGCAAAGAAAGCAGGTGAAAGTATAAATAACGATGTTTTATGAATAACATAAGCATTTAATCTGTAAAAAATAAATACTACAAAAGTAGTGTCGTATAAAAGAACTATCTAAGAGAGTAAACAGCAGAGATAAAGAGACTGAATGAGTAACGGGAGAGTTGGTTTACGAATACAATGTTCAGCAACTGTATGAGATCCAACGTACGGGACCAATGATTAACAAATGTAAAGAAAAATACAGCAAATATTAAAAAAGACTATTGAAGTATACGAGTATAACCTCGTCTCCATTGTTTGTATAGGCCTTCCAATGAGTACCTGGATCATTTTCATGATCTACATTCATAATAGCTGATTCTTGATACCGTGATCATTAGCTGGCAAGACATTATGCATAAAAACTCTTTTAATATTATCAATTTTCATTAAATGAGCATATTTTTTTATAACTAGATCTGTTATTGGACGATTAGGTAAAGCTATTTTAAGCATTTTATTAGACTTCTTCAATTGACATACAGTTTGAGGCGTAAACCATAATCTCTATTATATAGCTTCAAGTGAAAACTTTTCTCTGTTCCTCTGTAACAATTGCTTTCATAGTTTAATTATGTCTGTAAACCTCTTTTACTTCAGTTTTAGTGGCTTTAGCACTGTTGATAGCTTTTGCTATTAAAACAGCGGACCCAACAAGAGCATCAGTGGTACTTAAAATGGCAAATAAGTTGCTAGATACATCATATTCTGTAGCAGCTTTAACAATATCCGTTAATGTTGTTCCTGATATTTTACTTTTTCTATATTTTTTTCATAATTTTCGTTCTTTGATACTTTTACCTTGTTTCTTTCAACGACGCTGCTGCTGCTCCTTGGTCATTTTATTTCTTATACTGAATTCACTTTTCACTTCCATAACGTCTACTGCAGCAAAAACAGCTGCTTTCTCATAAAAAGTACTATCCTTAGCACTCAATTTATCCCAAGCCATTTTAGCTAGAATACTATCAGCTTCGCTTCTCGTTACAATGTTCTCTTTATTGAGAAACTATGTAATATCGTAACCTTTATAAACAGACAAACGAGCATCAAAAAACAAGCTTTTGATGATCTTGTTCATTAGGCTACCACCAATCATTTTTTGATGATGAGTGATCATATAACTTTGAAAGTTTGAAAGACGAACAATTGTTTTTCTCATTCACACGTTCGAGTGAATAGGAATTCGGCGGAGTTTTATTTTTCGGCGACGGTCGCATAAATGTAATTAGACCTCTCGCTTCTAAGATCGGGTGAGTTTTTCTTCCATTTCCACATTTTCTACCTACTTGGCCGAATGGAGTTGGCTACGTGATTCTTTTTTGTTTAAATATTCGAAATTAAACACGGCTTAGCAAAAAGACTTCAGTATTATTTTACGTATGAAATGAGCATTTGAAATTTGACGTGCGCGCTTGCAAAATAGTTCTTTTTATGAGATAGTCGGAATTTTTTTTTTGTGTCCGTCGCAATAAATGATTAATACTTTATATATTATATTGTATTATACTTTATATTATATTATTCTTTGTTGAAATTTTCTTTAATTATTTTTATTTTCATTATCTTTATTTGATATACAATACAGTATAAATCATTAAATATAATTAGTATCGCATTAGTGATTACTTAAAGAATTTAGAATAATTAAAATGTTGTCGGGAATTATTATTATTATTATTATTTTCTTTATTTTTAATGCCGACGATAAATTTTCATATTGTCGTCCCACCGTTTTATTTACTATCCTAAAAAGGACCCTGGGCCATAAATTATCCGTAAAACGCTGCGGGAGAAAGTTTAGTGAGGCTCTGTATTAAAAGAAAATAAAATACATGTGTACATTAGCCTGTAAGCGAAATGGCGACTGAAGCGTTTACCTTACAGCTACTGACTAGCATGTCAGCAAGCTTTACCTTACAGAATATAGTACAGGGCATTACCGAATTCGACGGAAAAAATGTTAAGGATTAAGGATTTCATCCAAGACATTCGTAATGGAAGGGCGCTGATATCGGACGGACAGGAACAGATTTTTGTTCGTCTAATCATCGCTAAATTACGATGATCCGCACACGATTGCATTTACGGAAAATCAAAGCAGTCGATGATTTAATCAAGATTTTGAAGGAGCGCTTCGCATACTGCAAGGACTTTGCGTACTATGATTCTAAATTTCATAGTTTACGCATGAAGCAAGGGGACTCGGTTGATGATCTCCATAATAGGATCAACATTCTGCTAAACTGCGCGCAGAATGCGCTGAAAGAAGAGCTCGGGAAAACTTTGCCGAGGCAATGATGACTCCGATGCGGAATTCAACCATAAAAACCTTTATAGATGGACTTTCAAAGGAAATTGGAGATCTAGTGGATATTAAGCAACCCAAAACCCTGGAGAATGCGTATAAAGAAGCACTACGTATAGAAACAAGAAATAAATCGAGGGCAAGGTATGGTGAGCTAAACCCTAATAAATGGACAAGTTTACTGCGCAGTCTCAATTTAAATTTTGTACAAGACCAACAAAACGATCAAGAAGAGCAATACAAAGCTGAGTGGGATGAATTACCCGCGGAAATTCAACAGTTGTTCGTGCAGCGAAATAACGGACAACAATCATACATAAATAATCAGAATAAATATGGACAACAGCAGAATCGACCTCAAGGGCAGAGGATACGGACTCATATCAGCACTCCTTCGGAAAGCGCTATGGAACAGTTGCATATGACCAGCAACAAAAGAGCGAGCTTAGACCCAATCCAAGATACCAGCAACAGGGTAATACAGATAACTTAAACTCAGATGGGGCTCGCCCAGCAATAAATGGAGCGGTCCCCTGTCAGACGTGCCGCCAGAATCAGGACAAGACCGAACATCAGTAACAGAATACGAAGACGATGTTGACAGAAATTCAAGAAGTACCGACGAACGAGAAACCGGGAGTATTTCCGGCAAAAGTGATGATGATATTAAGGAACCCGCAAGCCCTATTGAACTAGTCATCGCAGTTGCTTCGAATTGGGGACTTGGCGCAGGAAATCGTTAAATCTATGCGCCAAGAAGAGTAAGGTTTCGTATACCAGAGACCAGCAAAAAATGGATCGTGTTTATGGTCAATAATGGATCAGCTGTGAACCTAATTAAGTTTAGTACATTAAATTGGACCACGAGGTTTGATCTTCGGAAAGTTACTACCTTGAGTGGTATTACGGCAAACACCATTCCAACCATAGGTACGGCGATATTGACTATATATGATGGAAGAGAAATGGAAGATTGCGAAATTTCACATAGTATGGAATAATTTTCCTATCGTAAAGAACGGAATGTTAGACAGAGATTATCCAATTGATACGAACGCTGTAATTTCATATCATCATAGCAGCCTAATGGTAAATAACGATTAATGAACCCGGTACCATTTTTACCGAATGATGTTCCTATTGACCGCTTACAAAACGATTTGATACAAACAATGAGTATTAGAGCTCATGAGGATGAAATATCGGATATTGAAACTGCAGTGGACCTAGATAGAGGAATACTTTCATTATATCAGAATGCTGGAAGGACTAATGAATGCGCCAGCGACCTTTCAACGAATGATGAATGCGTTACTGCGAGGATTATTAAATGTGGAAATGTTAGTGTACCTGGATGACGTGATAGTTTATGCTAAGAATTTACACGATCATGAAGTTAAGGTAGGAAAATTATTCGAAAGACTTTCTCACGCAGGGTTAGATTTACAACGGTACGAAGTAAAATTCTTGGGACACATTGTCAGTGCTCGAAGAGTCAAGCCAGACCCTAAATTGGTTGAGGCCGTAAAGAAATTTCCGACGCCCAAGGGAGTAAAAAGTATCAGATCTTTTCTTGGACTCTCCGGATATTACCGACGCTTTATTCAAGACTACTCGAAGATAGCCAAGCCCCTTGGTGATTTAACAAAGAAGGACCAAACATATAACTGGGGAACGCCGCAAGAAGAAGCTTTTGAAAAGCTCAAGCAGATGCTTTGTGAGGCCCCTATTCTAGCTTTGCCTGATTTAGAGAAGACCTTTATCTTGACCACAGATGCTTCGGACTATACAATAGGAGCGGTTTTATCACGGGAAGTCGATGGCCTTAAAAGACCTATAACGTATCTTTCGAGGCTACTGAACAAAGCAGAAAGATATTATACTACGACGGAAAAGGAGTGTGTTGCAGTTTTATATGCGATGAATCAGCTTAGACCCTATCTCTTATGCAAGACGTTTACTTTGATTGCTGATCATGAGCCTCTAAATTTTATGCATAATCGCAAGGAACCAGGACAAAGGCTTATGACATGGATATTTAAGTTCACAGATTACCAATACACATTTAAGTATAAACCCGGAAAATTAAACTGCAATGCAGACGCACTGTCAAGGAACCCGATAAATTTACAGGAATATTTAGATGAAAAGGTTCAGAAAGAGAAAGAACTGAATGAAAATATTCCGAAAATTCAGGTAATGATGTTAAGACATAAAACTAAAGGAAAGGAAACGGATGAAAAACAGACGGTAGGAGAAAGGGAATCAACTAGTAAGCGTAAAAAGAGTCATACGATCTCGAATGAGCCAAGGCCGAAAAGAAGACCGGTCGGTGCCAAGACAAATAGGAAAAAGCCGAATTTAGATGATAGTACTATCGCTAAATGGACCCGACGTAAGAAATCTGTGATAACGATAGAAAAAACCATTCGACTGCTGAATGAACCCAGACTCGGCACTTCTAGACTTGGATCGGAAGTCGGAAAAGAGACCAAGATGAACAAGGATAAACCCTTACCCAAGCGACTGAAGGTGTTGCGAAAGACTACGTCGGACGCTGCGATAGATGACTCCGCATTGAAACCTAGTGAACCGGACAAAGAAGCCCCGCTTAAAGCTGCAAGGCAGGAGGAAGTAACGCCGACTGATGAATCTGCCATCGAAGTTGCTGTGAAAGACGTTGATAACAACAAGTTTACTAAAGACTCGTCTTTTGGGCAATATATGCCGAGTGATCGACACAAATGAGTGCAAGACATCTTAATTCGACTGGAGAGAGAAAGTATGAGTACCAGTGTTTCGGACTCCGATAGCGAGATTGGCATGAAACGGGCAAGTTCCTCTCGGCGATCCTTATTATCCTCAACTAGAATGGAGGATAAAGATCCGAAAAACATTCAAAAAAGTACAGATGACAGATCTCCAATAGAAGACCCGCGACGTAGTGGGCTAAGAAAAGGGACCGAAACGGGACCAGGAACAAACGGAATTAGAAGTTAGTA